CAACAAATTCAGGATAGGAATAAAAACAAATCATTTGAAAGTCACGCGCAATCTTCGCGAAAATTCCTTGACAGGGGGGGCGAATATTTTCACGAAACGTTGTTCGCCACCACAGAAATTCAAGTTTCAACTAAATATATTGTATTTATTGTATTTTATGATTTAAAAATAAAAATTAAAAACATTAAATATTTACGTATTTTTATTATCAATCATAAAAATGCAATAAATATAATATATCCAGACATCCAGTTAGGTTGCTGTGGGAACAACGTTTCGTGAAAATATTCGCCACCCCCTGTCAAGTAGCCACGAGGAATTTTCGCGAAGATTGTGCGTGACTTTCAATTGATTTTTTTTTTATTCCTATTCTGAATTTGTTGTGGGAGGTTTTTTCCTTCAAAGTGCAAGTAATTTTTTCAATTTTTCTTTTAGGACTATTCTACAATGAAGTACTCTTGGATACTGTAATCTAAATACATATGAAGACGAAGAAGTGGCATTTATCGGGCAGAGAATCGGCGAGCCATTAAAATGGCGGCATATGGACGAAATATCGAAGGACACAATATCGAAGATAAAATACACTGCACTGCTCCAAAACTTGGTTGAAATCTCCTTTAGCCATTTGCCATTATGTAAAAGTACAACAACTGGATGTTATTTGCGAGACACGGCGATATAAAGCAAACAAGACGGCATAATATGGCTGAAATCGTGTTTTCGTGGGGGGTAAGTGAAATAAAATATATTATATTTATAGAAAACAGTGACTATCCTTATGAAAACTACAATAATTATATTAAATTAAGCATAGTTTTTCATCCCATGGAATTTTTTTTTAAGAAATAAGGATATTTAATTTCTGCCATGTATATTAGTTATTTTCTGCATAATCAGCAATTTACCTGGGGTGATAAATGGTCATTTTCTTGTAAAATATTATACTTCCACAAATTTTTCCTTCCAATAACCACCCCTAAAAGCAACCCGTCTAAACACTATAAGCACTTCAGAAAGGCTGTCGCTTTTACTTTTCGGAAGTTAGAGCTATGTCGGCACTGCCGTTTCAGGGCGGGGTCATTTTCAGGACTTTCGTCCAGGATTCAGGTTTTGGCACATATGCCATGTTGACCGCCATGGTCATTTTACCCTAAAACAGTTGAGATTACCTGTGCTAAATGAAACGCATACAAACATCTATACAGGTCCTAGACTATTATAACGACTGCATTGACGACAGCGAAATAACAGACATTTCTTTCAAGTTGTATTTTTGCAAGATTTTGTAAATTTTAAAACCTTTCTGAGAGCCAAAAAAACGTCTAAAAGAATAGAGCAAAGTCGCCGATGTTAATTAATGTAATTAGTTTGTTTTAAATATTGATGTATTGTTTGTTTTATAATTGATATATATATATATATATATATATATATATATATATATATATATATATATATATATATATATATATATATATATATATATATATATGTGTGTGGTGTGGTTGGTTTATTCAAATAATTTCATGATACTTTGATTTTATTAGTGCCTTAAACATTTGAGAATGTAACTCTGCAAAAAGCTTTTTTGTCTTTTTTGAAACGTATATTATTGGAGTATTGCCTATTGGCAAGTTCTACCTTTCGCTTCTGAGATTTACAAACTATATTGAAATAATGCAAGTAAAAAATAGTGACAACTTATAAGCCATACATTTTCCGATAACGACAAAACGTGGATGCAAAACAATACCAATAATTACAATAACCACCACGGTGATTACTTTTTAACAATGAGTTTAAGGACGACTGAAAACAACTCGTCCTCGATGTCTCCGGCTACGCCTTCGTTGACTATTCATACATAACTCGGCCTCGTTGTCGAGTTGCAAATATACCTATACAAATACCATACACATATGTGTGTATTTTTGGTTGCAAAAACATGTAATGAAAACATTTACAGTAGCATTATTTTCTCGCTCCCAATTAAACTGAGTCATTTAAAATTTACCGCACTAAAACCCAACAATATGTTAAAGTATAAATTTGGTTTACACTCCAGTATTTGCTCAAACTACAGACATTTCTTACCGGTAAACACATTCTTTCAGCAGTTCTTTGAAGTCTCAGGACATTCTCCATTGGTCGAAACAATCTTATACTTCCATCAGATGAATCAAAATACGCTTTCATACCTTCAAAACCCTGAAAAATATCACTTCACATAAGGGCGATGCAAAATATTTATTTATTTTTTGTCGGAAGCAAAGAATTGTACAAATTGGACATAACAATCTTGTAAGTAGTATGTTGTTATGACAATCACATAAACGTTCGAAACTGTGACTAAATTCCATCAACTTTTGTTAAATCACTTCTAAGATACTAAATCACTTCAAACTTCTGCACGAGATATTTCTGCCATCTTAAGTACAACTACTGGCATCATAATATAACATGGGCCATTCTTCAATTTTCAAGATACTTTCAAGTGATGTATAAAAATTGGGGAGAAAATTTCGTGTCATGTGCACTTTAAAGAGTACCTCTAGGTACTGCAGCTTCATTTAGTGAAAAACTTTGCTCATTTGTGATCGGAACAAAACTGGAAGACATTTTGTTTTCGTCCAGAGGTGAATAGTGCAAGGATATCCGGAGATGAGCAGTCAATCAGTCTATCCACCTCCCAAGTATATGCTAAGGAGTAACCGTTTCTTTCGCTAAATGAAGCTGCGGTTTTATACAGGGTGTATAAAAAAAAACTGAACAGATATGAATTTGCTCTCAATTTCGCAAAACAGCTATTAGTATCCATGATCCGTTTTTGATGTATATAGCTTCTTTGGGTACTTATAATGTAGAATAATGAAAACAATTTCTCGAACTCAAATTTTGTGAACCAGGAGGGGTGTCTTTTCCAACAAACTAAAAATGGCTTGCGCACGAAATTTAAAAGCTTTAATTATATTTTGAGTTAATAAGATGGAAAATCTGTTGGGTTTTTAATTATTGTACAAAATGTCAGACAATTTGCTTTTAGTTTAAGTCCTTTAGCTATTCATTTTACCCTAAGAAAAAGATTTCCTCTGTAGATTAAGACACATTTACAACAAAACTGGCATCTCTTTTTATACATTAGTACTCTGAGCCCGCATTACTGTTCCAGATGATACATACTTTGTTACAATCTAAAAGTTTAAAGGTTTATCCGGACGACAACAGCGTGTACTAGTCAACGGTGAGATTTCAGAGACACGTCCAGTTTCCTCCGGCGTTCCGCAAGGATCAATACTCGGTCCACTCCTGTTTCTCATCTACATAAACGACCTTCCCGAATCAATAACCTCATCCGCTGTTGACGTTTCCTTGTTTGCCGACGACACAAAATGCATCTCAGTTATTGAATCACCGGTTGACGCCTGTGTCCTTCAAGCTGAAGCGAGAAACGTGGAGAAATGGGCTGAGTTTTGGAGGCTCAAATTCAACGCCGAAAAATGCAAAGTTCTGAGCGTTACGAGAAAACGTCATCCTCTTGTTGCTGAATACATTGTCAACGGTAAAACTTTGCAGCATGTTTCCTCGCAGAAAGACCTCGGAGTGACGGTTTGTTCAGATCTCAGATGGAACACTCATATTTACGAGCAAATTACGAAAGCCAACCGCCTACTTGGTATGCTCAAACGTTCGACTATCAAAGTCAAAAACGTAAATACCCGACGCTGTCTCTACCTTACACTTGTGAGATCCCATCTTGCTTATGCCTCACAAGCGTGGTGTCCACAGACTATCACCATGTGTATGGAGCTCGAACGCATACAACGTAGAGCGACCAAATTCGTACTGTCTTTACCATTCCAAACGGACATGCCATACAAAACGAGACTCGCTGC